ATCAGCACTTACCACGCGGTGATTGAATAAACACCGTTTGGTGAGACAGGATGGAATTCAACTTTGAAATCTGTGTTAGGGAAATCGCTTTTCGCAGGAAATCGGCGATAATTTTAATCATCATAGCAACAGTTGAACATTCGCGCAATTTTCAATAGTGACATTTTGAAAAACGATAAAGTCTTAAATTGAACAGATGCGTAGAAATATTTCTGATCGAATGGTAATAAAATTTTTGCTGCACAAAACAAACTTTCTCAGCTATGCCTCACAGGTTTCCCTGCCGGCGTTATGAATGGAGCAGGGCTTAGAAAGTATCTTTTGTGTAGAATATGTAAAAAAGGTAAAACTTCAGATGTTAGTCTGAATGTATATACCAGATGAAGTACCAGACGATTTTTGGCAGTGTCAGGAACTTTATTTTGAAGTCTGTGAGAGGGAAAACACAAATCGAGTTTCATCAATATACATAGCATGTTGAAAGATTGAGCACGTGAGAAAGAATTTTCTCTCTCAAATTTGAATATTTTTGCTTTCTGGGGACGGATAATAATGCGGGTGAAAAATGTTTGAACGTTTAACAATAATTTTCAGGGAAAAAGTTAACGACAAAGTCCATGAAAATTCCCGAGATATATATATATAGGCCTGCTCCTCTGAGGTACTTTAAATGCACATTTTTTTTTAAGTCCTCTCTACATTTCTGAAGTTACCTTGAATTACCTGAAATTCTCTGGATATTCCTGAAGTTCTTAGAATTTTTTTTGCAGTTTTCCTGATGGAAATAGAACCGCTTTTAAGATCTTTAAGCTTCCCTGAAGTTCTCTCTAATTCACTGATTATGATTTGGAATTGGTCTAAAGATCTCTATACCTCACTGCATTTCGCTGGACTTCCGTGAACTTCTTGGAATTTATGAGAAGTTTCTAATTTTTCTCTAAAGCTTATTAAACTTCCCTGAAGCTTTATGGACTATGCTATAATTTAGATTTAGACTTCTAGAATGCTTTAAAACCGCAATAAAACTTGTGAAGCTACTTGAGTAATGACCCGATTTTGTCAGTCACCTTTTTGAAAATATTTTCACATGTTCTACATTGAAAATGTATTTTCGTTATTTCTCTGAAAACAGTTTCGTAAAAATGAATATCGTACATAAAACACATCTTTTATAAATGGTACATTCGTTTTTTCTGTCATCTGGCGCAATGCTGCTATTACTTCTTATTCGTATAATACACAAATTCAACTTTGTACACACAAACCATCAACTGCGCTTCTTGTCTCATAAAGTGCTGATTGTATGTTGGAGATGGGATACTTTTTTATTGAAATATTTTCGGTTTGACCAATACATGCAAGCTACCACAATAAATCATGCAAGCTACCACAATAAATCAAATTACTGGTCGCGGTGGTCAGAGAAAAAAAAAACATACAAGCAGCAGAAAAAGCAAATGAAATCGAATTACCGTTCCATGAGTGCTTCTTATTTGCCTTTAGCCTTACCATTTCTCGTAGCACAGATAGAGCGACGCATAAAGTACAGATCTGAATATCGTAAGATTCATAATTCGAGTCCGGTCTGAAGCCCAGTTTTATTCTTTTTCGTCATGTTTATTCCTTCCAATGATGAAGTTATCTTCACCCATCCTCACTAACACACTCCACATTTTTCGGTTCCCACAACCAATACTTGTGGCCCGCTGGTTAAGTGTAGCGATAGCGAGTGTGACAGTTCTAACGAAACTAGCTTCATACAATGTACAAATCAATCTCGTTGCAGAAAACAATGAATAAATTCGTAGAACAAACGAGCGATTTCGTTGTATAAACAAAATTTTATTTTCAGTGTAACAATCCTATACGCTTGCTTTTTCAGTGATAACAAGTATACCACAGAACAGAAGGGAAAGTGCAAACAAATCGGTGAATCAAATATTGTTTGTTTTTCTGCTCAACAAGCGATGTGTTGTGGTAGCGTTCCACACGGGCTTTCTATGTGCACTCACACTATCATAGCATGCTGCCTATCTTAACTGTAGGCAGAAGATGCCTTCTACCGCTAGGTGCGCTAGTGTTCGCAAATGACAAGTGGAGCCACTTTCTGATCCGAAGTTCCACTCCTGTGAGTATACCTTAAACATCCATCAGATGACTGAGAAATATTTGGAATTACTGTTATGTGAAATTAATGAAAGATAAAAGCAGAGGCGTTTCCTTAACCTCAATCTACCTGTGCACCAACTCTCAAAACATAAAAAATTAACAAAATATTGCTTGCAATGGATAGATATCGAGTAAACTAAAATATTTAGTGTATTTTACAACGGATTAAAGCTTGAATATGGCATTAAATCTGGTTTTGAAAGTTTGGGCACATGTAAAAAGTGAGGTTACGGGAAGCCAAATATTTGAGCACGGAGAGGCTGACAAAATCTGGTTACTACTGTAGTTTTTTCATTGACGTAGTATTCTAATCAATTTTCTATTAAAAGTTTCTTGAAGTCAACTGGATCACAATGAAGTTGCATCATCATGCTACATAAAATGATCCATTCGAAATTGTTTTTAGTAAATAAATATCCAGAGCATGTTCGCTAGATTTATTCTACGTCCTTCGCCCCACCGCACTATTTGCAAATTATTTCCGGAAACATCCGGGCCCCTGCAGCAGAAATCCCTCCATTCAATTAATGCCCCTGCTGTGGTTATATTTAATCAACTTCCTCATTTGTTTCCAACGGAAGGGAGATCCCACATAACTCCCATTAGCGTTGCTAGGCAGCAAAAAAGGGTTACGCTGCAGTTTCCTACCGAGAAAGGCAACAATGCTGCAAGTTTGCAGACGGCTTAGGATGGCCACCACAACCAACCATCGGGGATGAGGGTGTCTCGTGTAACCAAGAGTGCTGTTGCTGCTGGTCCTCGGTTCCAGCTGGGGTGCCACCTAGAGCAAGAGCTGATTCATCGATTTATTTGCTTGGAGAATGTCTGATGCACCCACCACATACTGGAGCATGGTTGCCGGAGAAAATGTGAGAGCGAACTATTTTCTATACATGGGAAGCACAACACGGACTTCCTCGGCAAGTTTGTGGCTTTTGCGAGGAGAGATATTTAACTTGCACAATGTTTATGTGGTAACCAGTGCTGCTGCAGTCAGTGCGCTCTCTCGAGCATGTGTTGTTTGCTCATGGCTTACAGCAGCAGTCGTACCATCGGGTCCAGCAGAGGGAACCTCTAGGGCCGAAGAAAGCATGCATTCGGGTGGACTTGTTTGTGCCGCAAATTTACATGCAATTTCATGCAAAATTTATTCCTCAAAGGGAGTGCTGGCTGAGTCCTAAAGTATGTTGTAATTTACGAGAAAAGAAGTTTATGCTACTGTGGAAGGTTGCTTCGGGGCTTCTGTCTGGGTGGAATCACTTAATGCTGATGGAAAGAAAGGGTGGAACGTTTACCAGGGGAATCAGGAGGAAGAAAAATGTCTTGTGGTTGTCGAGTGCTTTGGTCAATTTATGTTGACGAGTGAAGAATGACTTAGTTTTTGCTTTTGTTTGGGACAGGTACTGCTTGAGAAACAACTTTCCGCGAGACCAACTTGTACCCAATCAATCTTCAGGGAAAAGTTTCTGCTGATTTGTTTCGGTTTCGTCCAACACCCACAGTCATTGACGATCGATCGTCGGATGACCAAGTTTTGCAGGATTCCATTAGATTTGCCCCGCTGTTCTGTGCGCATTCTATTTCCAATTACCGTCGACCATCTCGAGGGGGACAAACTTGGTAATTAATGTTCTGCTTCTGCTGCTCGGATGATGAAATGGAGTAATCAGGGGGAGTGATGTGCAGAGGATAAATAGATAAATCGCCAATCATCGGGCAATTGTACAGATATGCCACGACCGAAATTCTCCTGGGTGCACCCACGTAGCGATGTGCCATCTGCAGTGGAAAACTTTCTCCATCGTGCTTGGGTTTGCGCTTCTTCCGACTGTGCCGACGGAAATGGGTGTACAGAGCACAGTGAATAATAGAATTTTCTCCAATTTGCTCGGCTTTGCTGCAATTTCTGCCTCTCCTTGGAGTAGGCGGGTTTTTTTTTAAGGAAGCTGCGATGGGTTTTCGAAACAGTATTTAGCTTTTGCAATCCATCCGTGGACATTTACCAACCTGTCGATATATTGACAGCCGCCAAGGCTACGATAAGGGCGTACCACTGTTTTAAATTAAACTTAGATCTTCTGCATTTATCGTTTGCAACCTTTTTGGTTTAATCGCGGTCCTAATGTAATTTATTACACTTGAAATGGCTTCCCAACGAACGAAAAAAAGGTGCTATCTTGTTTTCCGTACTGAGTACCAATGCTATCGACGCTAGGGAGGCAGCTCCCACACCTGGACCCTATCAATCGAGCCCGCAACGCATGGCCCGGGGACCAACGGCTTTACTTTCCGAAAGGAAGGCGTGATCAGAAATGTTATGCCTCAGAACATCCCGGCGTTGCCGACTGGGATTGAACTCAGGCCCTTTTGGGTTGGAGGCAATCACTCTTGCCACTACACCATTAATTTTGGTAATATATTTGGCCATTCATAAAAACTCAAATTCCTCCTCCCATTATACCTGGGTATCCGGGGCAAATCCTATTTCAAAATCGATTGAGATTTTGGTGTTTTTGTGGTGTCATGAAATCACTTAATTCTATTGCAGAATTTTAACTTAACTCTCCTTCTAGCCAGTGAAACTTTTCACTACAAAAGTTTCTCTACTAGAATCCATGCACCGTGATTTAGAATTCAAATTCAATGCTGAAAAAATGTTTAATACTGGAAAAACACATTACACATGGCATTGCAATCAATCAAGTATGGCAGTAATATGATTTCCCAGTGTTAAATTTCTACCTGTAATCAGTTTGGTATTATGGCTCACGGTGCTTTTGTCGATGAAGATGGTAATAATTATTCTTTACTTGTCTTTTTTTTATCTCCAGGGAAACCCGGCAACAACGGAGAGGGTAAGTCAAAAAGAATTATGACTTTTGAGTTCATCCCAGTGGTAAATTGACTACGCATAGATAATACTAATTTATAGAGAAACATGAAGCTAAAAAGGGTATACGAATGCAACAAAATATATTGGTTAAAAATCAGGCCTGCCATAGTGGTTACTGGCTTCTTTTTTAATCTATACTATGGGCGCCTCCTTCAGATATTCCTGATCCGGTCTAGGAATTTTTCGCGTTGGAAAATTGCTGGGCTTCCCTGGGCCTGGTACAGGCATTGAAAGCTCTCAATATTTAACTGTGGAAGTGCATCTAGAACACTAAGTTGAGAGCACGCAAAAAGCTAATATGTGATAAGCATTTCAACGAAGAATAATAAGGGGCATATAAATTTCGATATGCATGTCGAACAAAGCTGCACATGCTGCGAAAATGCATGAGGGTATTTGTGGATGCCCATACAGATTATTATGCATTGAGTAAAATTGCATTTCTAAAAATGTCATGAAAAATATTCTGTCTTCATTCAGATTTAATCTGCGCTCTTAAGCAACTTCAGAAAAAAATCCGCCAATAAAAGTGAAATGAAAAATGTTTTGCTTATCACTCAGATTTAAGATTTGTTGTACCAGCAGGTAAGTTCCGAGAACTTCAGGGAGGTTTGATAAACTCCAGTCAAATTCCGTTGAAAATCAAAGATATCCATAAGTTCCATTACCTTTAAGAAAATTGCAGAAACTTTACAAAAGTTTCAAGAACTGAAGATTTCTACAGGTTTGTTTAAAAATCTTTAGGAATGACCAACACATTTTCGAACACTTCTAAGAACTTTAAGCAATTCCAAGAACATCAGACACATTGTGGGAGCTTAACAGATATTCTATGAATAAAGATGAAAGCGTCCAGAAAACTTCAACGAAGTTTAGATACATTAAAGAAAGTAACGGGATCTAGAGATGGTCGGGTACGGGTTGCAAATAAATAGATTTTGCTGGTTCAGGTCGGGTACGAGTAACAACAAACGTGGAATACTCGGGAACTGATCGGGCTCGGGTATTTCTTGCATCTTCTCCAATCAATAAATTAATGATTTTGAGCATCAAATCAAACTTCTTGGCAAATTTTTTCAACAAATAACAGATATTATTCATGTGCCTTCACAAAAACAGAAACCAAAGGAATAAGCATATGCATTCAATGAACTGTTAATCCGTAGCAGAACCATACGAGTTTGGTCGGGGTGGGTATTTAAAAAAATCACATTTCGGGTTCGGGTCGGGTACGTGTTCTTGAAATTTTTATGAATTGGGATGGGTTGAGTTCGGGTATTTAAAATTACATACCATACATGAACTGCGTATCAGTTCTGAGAACTTATGAGCGGTTCCACGACCATCAGAAAATTAGTGAAGTTCTATTAATTTTAGGAAAATTATTGCGAACCTCCACGAAGTTTTGATTATTTTATAAATCTTCCACGACCTGCAAGAATTTTTGATTATTTTATAAATCTTCCATGAACTTCAAGGAAGCTCCGGAAACTTCAGAATAGTTTTAAGAATTTCATGGTCTTCCAGAGCTTCAAAGACGTTTAATGACCTTAAAAAGTGAGTTCCGATAGCTTCAGAGTAGTTTCATTGTTTCCTAGAGATTCTGTGACGATAAGAGACTTTGAGGGCAGTTTTGACGTTTTGGAAAATTGCAGGAACTTTACAGAAGCTGTCAAAACTTCAGGGAAGCTTAAAGATCTTTAAATAAGCTATGTGAACTTCTGTGCAAATATGATGTGTGGGAACTTAAGGCCAATTCCGAGCATTTTAGTAAAATCTCATCAATTTCAGGAAAACATCTGAAAAAGTTACAGCTATTTGAACTTTTTTGGAGGGTAAAAAAATTGCGAGTTGATAGACTTTGGTCCGGTACCCGAGTAAAGGATTAAACCAGATTGATAACAAGTTCTGATACCCGGTTATCAAAATTTTCATAACAAAAGAATACTCCTTGAATATCACATAAATAACTGATTTAGTTATCATTGAAAACATTTTGATAACAAATCCCGTGATCCATGCGAATTTTTTCAACAAATTTTAAATTATTTTATCGATTTGGTATAATAGTCTTACGTTGATAAATTAAATATGATTGGCAGTGTTTGTATGTACTTCTTACGATGCAGATAATATTGGAAGTTTTTAACTAACCTTGCATCATTTGATTTTCTTTCATGATAACAACTGATTACAAAATTTGTCGAGGTTGATAACTAAATTAGTTATGTGATAACAACTGAAAACAAAATGATATCTGGAATAACAAAACTTGTTTTCATGATGATATCAGGCTGTTATTTTACTCTGCTCGGGTTACCATTCATAATGAAGCACAAAGGATCAACTCTGTTTTGACCTCCCGAGTAAAGAGTAAAGGATTATACCAAACTGATAGCAAGTTCTGATACCCGGTTATCAAGATTTGATAACAGAACATGTTATCTTTGTGGTTGAATAAACAGCCAACATAACAACAATTATAACAAAAGAATACTTCTGTAATATCACAAAAATAACTGATGTAGTTATCATTGAAAACATCTTGATAAAGAATCCTGTGATCCATGCCAATTTTTTCACCAAAATTCCAAATTATTTTATCGATTTGGTATTAAAGCTTTACGCTGATAACTGAAATATGTTGGCAGTGTTTGTTTTTCTCACCATGTGGATAATATTTGAAGTTTTGTAACCTTGCATCATTACATATTCTTTCATGATATCAACTGATAACAAAATAAGTTTAGGGTGATAACTTAATTAGTTATGCGATAACAACTGAAAACAAAATTATATGTAAATGGTGCTCTATTCCGAACGTGTCTCCAGAAAATTAGCGAAAATGGAGGAAATCAGTATCGGTACTTCGAAACTGCCATTCGGAAGTTTTGTCAAGAGGTTTTCTTCCAGGATACATTGAAATATGGCCAAGAACCTGGACCTGTAGATTGAAAGCGTGTGCGACCTTCAGAGAAATTCCGAGAAGCTCGGGCAAATTTCGAGTACTTTAGTACAGTTTCATTCATTTCAGGAAAACAGTGGCACCCTTCAAAAAGTTTCGTAAATGTAGGGGAAGTTCAGATATATTTATAACAGTTTTGTTTCTTTCAGGGTAATTTCTGGAACATCATTAGAAGAATAGTGAGAACTTCAGGGATGTTCCGAGAGTTCAGGGCAGCCTTGTTTACTTCGCAAGAAATTAATGAACTTTGAAGAATATCTGAAGAATATCTGAAGAATTAAAGGAAGCTCCAAAAATGTCCATGAAGTTACTTGAACATACTGCGGGCACTTAAAGGAAGCTTCAACAGCTTCAATGTGGCCAGCGGCGCCGGTGGTGTAGTGGTAAGCGTGATTGCCTCTCACTTCAAAGGGTCTGGGATCAATCCCAGTCGGCGCCGTCGGGATGTTCTGAGGCATAAAATCTCTGATCACCGAAAGTAAATCCGTTGGTCCCCGGTCCATGAGTATGAGTTGATGGGTCGATAAGTCCAGGCGTAGATGCTGCCTTCCTGGCGTCGGTAGCATTGGTACTCAGCACTGAAAACAAGACCAACGGAAAACAAATCAAAGAAAAAAAGCCTCTGGAAAAGTACAGTAACTTTTAAAAGTTCTGAGAACTTCAGGGATATTCGAAGATCTTCAAGATTGCTAAAGTGATCGCGCACGGGTATAAACTTCCCTACGTTGTGTGAATAGATGGTGAAAATAAAACACGGTCGTTTATCGGGCCATCCTGCCATGGCAGAGGCATGCGAACTATTGAATTTATTTGCAATCTTTACAATAGAACGGTAGGCATGATAACACTACGCTTGCGGCACTTGTGTGATGATATGAGTATTTGGGTAGGGTAGTTGCACACGTTTTGTACAAACATAAAGAGATGTTCAGAGAACTTGATACAAATTTTAAAAACTTTGAAGAAGTTCCATAAAGATCAGAGAAGCTAGGTTTAGAGATCTTCAGGGAAGCTCAAATATCTTAAGGGCAGTTCCAATAATTTCAAGGATATACCGAGAATTTAAATAAAGTCTAGGCATTAGGGGAAGTTAAATGATGTGTAAGGGCAAGTTCTGAAAAATTAGAACAGTTCCATGAATTTCAGGAAAATTTTCAAGAAGTTATGCGAAATTCAGGGAAATGGTGGGATAATTGAGGAAGTTCAATTAATATCAGGAAAATTAATGGAATAGTAAGTAAGTTCCAAGAATTTTGTGGCAATTTAGGAAGCTTCAAAGTAGTACAAAAAACCAGTTAGAGTTTCAAATTTTACTGCAGATCTGCCTTATGAAGCAGTCTTATTCAGTTTTGGCCTGCTCAATTGTTTGTTCGGATGCATAGGGGAGTTGTTAAATTTTATTTATTTATTTATTTGTTCATCATCTATGCCAGAAAAGCCACACATACTGTTTAAAAATACTCAATTCTATTCTTAAAAAACTAGTCTACTAATATTAAAATCAAATACATCATTAAATGTCGATTACTTTTTCGAAGGGAAGAATCAGCTTTTGTAAACAATGCATTGATCGTCAACTTTGCGTAACTGGTAGCTCGCACACGCATACTAACACCACTATCAGATAGGGGGAAACTTCCCCTGTCTGATGGTAGTGTTAGCATGCGTGAGCGAGCTGCCAGTTACGCCAAATCAACGTTAAAATGCATTGCTTACAAAAGCTGATACGTCCCTTTGAAAAAGTAGACGAGAAATGGTCTACAAGATCTATTTTAGGTCTTGAAGAATTAGTCCTGATAAGTTATGTGAAGTCACATGAACTTTAAAAAAAATCGTGATCATCAGTGGAAATTCCAAAAAAAGCATTAATTATTTTCTTTTAGCTTCAAGAAAATTACGGAAACCTTAAAGAAGATCCGAGAATTTAAAAAAAAATCCATCGAACTCTATGTAATTTTTGAAAATTTAAGAAAAACTTTTGGATCTTTATAGAAGTC